TTCAACGGTAAAATTTGACGAGTATGAAAATATTGTTGCCATACATGAGATGATGTTGTAAGTAGTGCTAAACTAGTAAATAATGTTATTTGTTCATTTTCTTTTCGTTTCAATGTTGGAAGAATAATTGGTGATGATTATTGTTGTTGTTGATTTGTTAATTCATAACATTCACGAATAGATGTACCTAAAACTGAATGTGGTGAAATTTCAAGAAAAACATTTGCTGCTTCATCTTTTATAATTGCTGCTATAGCATCATAAAATCTCACAGCTTGTCTCACATTTGACCACCAATATTGACCATTAACTGGTATACTATCATTCATTTGCTCACCAATAACACTTGAATAAGGTTTTGCTTTTGCACATATCGGATCAAAAATTTGTTTTTGATCTTGTACTGGAAGTCTTCGAATATCTTTCAAGGATGAAAGCATTTCTTTTTCAGTATCAAATCGATTTATTTGATATGAATGAAATACATTTTCAATACGAAGACGTGCATTGAATACATTAGGATAAGATATGGTAAGAATTTGTTGTATTTCATCAATAGTTTTTTCATCACCACTTATTGTTACTGAGCGAGGACTATTAACAACAGCAATACAAGCCAAATGTTCAATACCTTTCAGAAGTTTGTTTTCTACTTCTTCTTCACTTATTCAAACAGCTAACATACGAACAGTTTCTTCTAGAGTTAATCGACCAGCAACAAAAGCAGCTGCTTGATCACCAGCACTATGTGATACAATAGATGATGGATAAATATGCCAAGAAACAAGTAAAGCTGTTAATGCAACTTGTATAGCAAATAATGTTGGTTGAGCAATATTTGTATCATTCATACGAGATTCTTGTTCATTTTTCTTTTCGATTAATTCTTCTAATAATCTCCATTCACCATTATTAATTTTTGTCATTTCCGCATCAGTTAAATGAATCTATTTATTAAATAAAGGTTCACTTTCATATGATTGTCTATCCATAGACCACCATGGTGGACCTTGTCCACTAAAAACAAAACATATTTTCTGTGCTAATGCTTTTGTTGGACGTGATGATTGTGAGATCTGGTAATGCTTTTTTAGTAAGAAAAGCATTAATTTGTTCTTGTAATTGTTGACGATTAAGAAAAACAAAGATTGCTAAATATGTATAACTAATAGTTCTTTTGAGAAGAAGTTGTTGAGATATTCGTTGAGGAAAAGCTTGATCATCATTATAATCTATATCAATAATTGATCGTTAAGATATTGACGACTTTTTACTGAATAAGAGAAATAAATTATTTAATGAATGAAAAGAAAAAAGAACTTACTTGAAAACATAAAAATAAAATATTGTTTGCTTTTAATATGATTTCCATCATCGAT